TACTACTACTACTACTACTACTACTACTACTACTACTACTACTACTAATAATAATAATAATAATAATAATAATAATAATAATAATAATAATAATAATATAGGATTATTCCTCTTGTGCATGAAACAGATTTGGGTTTCATAAAATATTGATGCCACTTGGAGGAACACTTTAATGAGTAGGTCCAAAATATCCTGATGCATGCTCAATAATCCATGTAGATAAATCTGACCAGGTTAAATCAGGTCCTCTGGACAAATTCTTTGTTGAAACATTGAGTCTTTTATCTAAAATACTTTATCAGTCAAACCTTAATGAGTAGGGGTTTTGATTTCACCAGTTCCCAACAATAAAAAATTGTCCACTAAACTCAACTATTTTATTTTTGCAGATATAACATTGGATCAGGAGTCTAAGACCTATGAACTGACAAACCTGAAAAGTGATACTGCATACCAGGTCTATATATCTGCCTTCACCGCTGCAGGAGAAGGAGTACGAAGTGCTGCAAGCTTCTTTAAAACACACCATGACGGTCAGGTGAACTCAATGACGCACCCAAATATTTTTTGAAAAGCATTTCTCGGACTTCATATTGTGCTCTTTGGATTTTCGTTTTCTTCACAGGAAATACTTATTTGATTGGTATATTTGGAGTTATTGCAGTTGTGGGCACTTTGCTGGCATTTTGGTCTTTGATATTAAAGAGGTATAAGACCCCCCCCACACACACACACACACAAACATTAAATACTATATATGTGAATTTGTACATTTTTCACACAGGTGAATGTGTTTATCTACCATACTGTTCTAAAAAACTACCTTTAATTACTCTGTCCAGGCTAAAGGCCATCATGTTGCCCAGCATACCCAACCCTGGAAACAGCAGCGCAGTGAAGAAAATAGACCGGCCAGGTCAGCTGGTATGTGTCTCAAAAAGAAAAAAACGCTCATTTTCACCTGTGGTCCCAATTAATTCTGTTTGTGACCAACAAGACGTGCAGCTGCTTATTGCGTGGCCAATTTTGAAAATCACAGCCTAATTTTACAAAATTGTAAAATATAGATAATGCTGTACAACCATCCATCCATCCATCCATCCATCCATTATCTTTACCCGCTTCTTCCTTTTCGGGTCACGTGGGTCACTGGTGCCCATGTCCAGCCGTCATTGTGTGAGAGGCAGGGTACACCCTGGACGGGTCTCCAGTCCATCACAGGGACACATAGAGACAAACAGCCATTCACTCTCTCACTCACACTTACGGATAATTTAGAGTTACCAATCAGCCTAACATGCATGTTTTTGGTCTGTGGGAGGAAACTGGAGTACTGGGAGAAAACCCACACATGCACAGACAGAAGATGCAAACTCCACCCAGAAAGGCCCCCGGCCGGGATTTGAACCAGAGCGACTTGCTCGCTAAGAGGCAGCGTCTCTACTAACTGATCCACCGTGCTGCATTGTTTGAACCAACTTTTTAATATATAATATTTCTCATCAGTATGTTTTTTTTTAAGACCTGGATATCTGAGGCTGTAGCCTAAGATGTATTCTGTCATAAAAAAAACTCTGGTGCAGGTGAAAAGATACAGCTCCAGTTTGATAGATTACTACTTCTTCTTTGGGTTTTCCCTCTTCAGGGGTCACCACAGTGAGTCATTCTCCTCCATCTCACTCTGTCCTCTGCATCCTCAGTCCTCACTCCAACTACCTCCATGTCCTCTCTAACTGCATCCATATATCTCCTCTTTGTCTTTTTCCTGGCAGCTGCATTTCTAACATCCACCAATATACCCACTGTCCAAACCATTTCAGTCTGGTCTCTCTAACTTTATCTCCCAGTTGTTCAACCTGTGCTGTACCTCTGATTATCTCATTCCTAAACTTATCCATTCTTGTCACTCCTAAGGAGAACCTCAAAATCTTCACCGTTGTCACTTCTAGTTCTTTCTCCTGTCTTTTTGCCAATGTCAATTTATCCAAACCATACAACATACTGTAGCTGGTCTCACCACTGTCTATAAACTTTTGCTTTGACTTTTGCTGACACCCTTATGTCACAAATAACTCCTGAAACCTTTCTCCATCCACTACATCCTGCCTGGACTCTCTTTTTCACCTCTTTACCACACTACCCATTTTTCTGGACAATGGACCCCAAGTCCTTGAAGTCCTGCACCTTTGTGACCTGTGCTCCTTGTAGCCTCATTGTTCCACCAGCCTCCTTCTCATTCACACACATGGACTCTGTCTTACTACGGCTGACTTTCATTCCTCTTCTTTCAAGTGCTTTTTCCACCTCTCTAAGTTCTCTTCCACCTATTCCTTGTTCTCACCACAGATCACAATGTCATCTGCAAACATCATAGTCCATGAGGATTCCGGTCTGACCTCATATGTTAGTGAGTCCATAACCAGAGCAAACAAAAAGGGACTTGGAGTAGATCCTTGATGCATTCCCACCTCCACCTTGAATCTATCTCTCACTCCTACAGCACATCTCACCACTGTCCTGCTGTCCTCATACATGTCCTGTACCAGTCTAACTTTTCTGCCACTCCAGATTTCCTCATAAAAGCTCCTCTCTCGGAGAGTTCAAAATACTCCTGTATCGCTGAAAAGTTTCGCCCCCCCATCTCTCTGATCTGCTACAACCCACCACATTCCCTGAGGTCAGCGGACCAGTTGCTCCTCACAGTTCCAGGAACTCGTCTTAAGCGGTGACAGGGCCTTCTCTGTAGCAGGACCAAGACTTTGGAACGAGTTACCTCTGTTTGTCAGACTGGCCCCCTCCCTCTCGGTTTTCAAATCCCGTTTAAAAACTCACTACTATTCAGTAGCTTTCAAAACCAGAGGATCTGTGTTTTGAACCTGTACGCTCCACACTGGTTTGTAATCATATTTATTATCTGCATCGATTTTATGTCTATATTTTTGATTTACTTCATTTTGTATATTGCTTTGTGTGTTACCTGTTGTTCAGTCTGTACAGCACTTTGGTTGGCTTTGTAGCTGTTTTAAGTGCTCTATAAATAAAATGATATAGTATGGTATGGTTTTTGAAAAAGAGTTGTTTTATAAGCCTTATAAGTGATTAAAAAATGGTTCTCATGTGGCAAGCCATTAGTCAGGATGAAGATTTCTGCCATTTTCTCCGTCCTCTGATAACTATTCATTGACAGACTCGAACATCACTTGACCAAATCAAAATGACCTGACAATCACGTTTACCTGCTTGACTACATGAATATCTCAAAACTGTTGGCAATCTTTCTTTCAGGAACTCCTTGAGGCCATAGCAACTCTACAGGTGGAAGAATGGGTCACAAAAAGCCTTCAGATACTTGAGAGGGAAGATGTGAACCCTGCTGGGATATTACCATCAAAGTTACCACTTCTCAGGACCTCAGAAAACCAGGAGGATTTTCCAGAAATTACTTGCAACTGGACCCAGATGGACACAGAAAGCACAGCTGGAGACAACCCACCTGATGATACAGCTGATACATTATTGAACATGCAACAGTCGAACATTCAAAGCTCACCTTTAACCTTTGCAGGAGACTATACAACAATGGAAATGTTCCAGCAGCTGATCTGTCAGGACACGGAGATGGATGCCACAGTTACTGCAATCATTGAAAAGGATATGGACAACATAATACTAAAAGCTTTGAGATCAGATTACGTAAGACAATTCAGCACCAGTTCACCATCAGACAGTGATCATATGTCAACTATTTTATGATACAGGTGGAACTGATGAGTATGAACTGCAAATATCAAAACACAAAGGACCCTACCAAACAAAGTTACCACGGCCAGAACGGAACCAGCATTGTTCCCCCTGGATCTGAGGTTTGACCAACGATCAGACTCACTTCTCCAGTACTAGACCTTACCAGGGAGGCTAAGGAGAATTAAGCCCCTATAATTGGAAGACACCATCCCATCTGCCAATCCAATGGCACTGCCCCCGATGTCCATGCAATGTTGCAAAGGTGGGTCAACCAAGACAGCCCCATAACATCTAGAGCCTTAAGGAAATCGGCAAATCTCATCCATCCCTGGAGCCCTGCTGCCACGAGCTTTTAAACTACCTCGGCGATCTCAGCCATGGTTATGGACAGACCAACCCCGAAGTCCCCTGACTCAGCTTCCTTCATGGAAGATGTGTCACTGGGATTGAGAAGGTCCAACAAGTCCCAACGACATCACTGGTTGAAGTGAACAGCACAGAATTTTTTTAAAAGGGTCTGCATTTATATGCATGTTGTGTATATATATATATATATATATATATATATATATATATATATATATATATATATATATATATATATATATATATATTTAAATGTATTATATTCTTTCTTGTTACTGACCAGAATTTATGTTGTATCATCAATCTTGAAAATAAATAAATGAAAAACAATTACTCAGAATTATTGAGTGAAAAGTCTTATCGAACTTTTGCAAACAGATAAAATGTTAATTTCTGAATACTTTTTACTGTACATACATCCAAACCTTTCAAAACATTACAGTAATCCTCCAAACAGTCTTTACATCGTGGACTCAAGACACGCAATTTAAACCAAAGCAGTTCTTCCCAGCTCTGTCAGAAATACAGAAACTTTAAATTTCATGGAAAAAAAAATCAGCTCAGAAGAAAGTTTTACACAAAAAAACTAAACCACTATAAACAAGTAAAAAAAAAAGAGGCATAAATGAAACAGTTCAACTTTAAAAATCGTCTCAAATTCAGAAATGATCCATTTGAACTTTGCAGAAAGTTTTTGGACAGCTATAATACAACAGCACAACAAACAAAACTCAAACAGGTCTATAAATGTTTGAAATAAAAACTCAATTACCGAAGCAAAATCCTTTAACAGAACATCTTAATCCATTTAAGTCTTCATATTGGATTAGACTTTTGTTTACAATCATTGCCCAGTCACTCTCTGTACTTTTATACGTTTGTTGACCTGCGACCTCTCTTTTATTTGACCTGCTGTACAAAGAGGAATAAATGACAGTTCTGACGACACCCACACACCAATATATACAGAAATCCATCCTCTAAGACGTGGTGTTGTCAGGATAGTCAATGTTTTGTCTGAAGAAATCTTGTTGCATTGGACCAGTTTCTTTAAAAACACAAAAACGACTCGTTTTATTTTTTACAATTCAACTGAATCTCTTCACGGGTCTGTGTGCAGGAAGGAAGTTTGCACGACAAACTTAGTCTGAAAATTCACATTTCTATTAGACCCACTTAGGTTTCCTTCTAGTTGTTGCGATTTTTGAAAACTTTGCAGTTTTTTTTAACCGTTGTATAAAATGATGCTAAAGATGCAAAGCTTAAAATCAGATTTTTTGTGAATCATTTGTTAAAGTAATTATGGAACAAATGTTGAATTTTCTTTATTTGCATCAAACTGTCCTCTTTCTGTTCCTGCTCACTCGATAGTGAAACTTACTGTTCAAGTGGAAAAAAGAACAAATGTTAAAAAAGCCATTTTCTTGAAGCAAAGCTGTTGTGCACTGATTAGTTCTCGTTGGGGATGACTCGCAGCTACCACCACATCTAACTCACCCTTTCACCTTCCAGCAGCAGGAGGTAAGAACAGCTGCACACCACGAATGACATAAGAAAAGTTGGAACTACCAGTTTAATGTCCAGTTCAGTGATTCAGCACATGAAACTAATTCACTGAAACCATCTACAGAAACACATTAAGGCCAAAAAGGAAACTTGTGACTCCTTTAGAAACAAACCACTATTAAATCCAATGTCTGCTTTTTATTTTTTTACTCGAGAACCGTGAGTAATCAAGGTTCACAGCAGAATCTTTTCAGATACTTCATGAAGATGGTAAATCTAAATTTCTATTCAACATTTACCTCCTTTTTATGTTCTGCTGACCCCGCTGCGAACCTTATTTTAGCTGAAGAAACTAAGCCAACAGTTAGGACACACACTTTTCTTGCTTAGAAAGCAGACTGTTGCTGCACATTTGTACTTTTCAAGAAGGCAGAACTATATTTACAAGGAGTATCAGACATGTACGGCCATGTGAGGCATAAAATGATTTTTAATCTCCCGAAGTTTAGTCAGAGATTATTAAAACTCAGCTTCAATCTCAGTCTATGAGCTTTGTGTTTTACACCATCTTTACATGACTGACGGCTTCTCGTCCTTTGGACAAGAAAAGGAGTTTAGTTACAGAACCCAAGATTGTATTTTAAAGAACAAAGTGAAAAATGACTTGCTGGAAGAGATATTCACAGTTTATGGAGGCATACGCACAGAACGGAACATACTGACGAAGCAGAATTCATTTCAGAGGAACCATGATGGTCACTTCCTGCGGTCTGCACCCACAGCAGCGACCTCCTCACTGTGGGTCTTGTAGCTGCCATTGTGCTGGGTGCATGGTGATGATGTCATGTCCTCACTGGGTGTGGCCGAGCCTTCTCTGTCACTTCTGCATCCGTCCTTTACGTCTCTGTTGTGGTCCAGCTTAAAAACAATCATCAACACAAACCTGATTACCAGAATGATCAAAGTGATGAAACTAAGGCGACAGGCTCAGTTTTTCTGTTGGCCATCTTTGGCCCAACATTGATTGGTATCGTTCTTTCAGTGATTACTAGTCTGTTCTTGATAGCCTTGTTCACGTGGGCCAGCAATCAGGACAGATTTCCTTTTGACAAAACTCACCAGAAGGTATTTAGTATTTTCTTACACATAAACCAGGATCGAAAACCAAAAAGTATAAACTAAGAAACTACTGACAGCGAGTAGGCCTGTCACGATAAACAATAAATCAATCAATTAATCACATGATAAATGAAAATTATCGACCTCATTTTCATTAATCGGCTTTATCGTTTCTTCATGTCTCTCTCTTTCTACTGAAGACACTGGATGAAAAAAAGCTCAACTCCAGTTCTCTTCACTGACCCCTTCCTTTCTCTTTTCTCTTTAAAATCAGTTTTAAAAGTCCAAAATCATGTTTTTGAATCGTTTAAAGCAGCTAAGCTGAGAAGCTAAGCTACGAGCTAAGCTAACAGGCCGACCTTAGGGAAAAAACCTCCGTCTTGTCGAAGCTCCAAAAATTCACGGTTGAAACCTGTGCCTTCATGTAAAAAGTTTTTCTCTGCAAAAACAAGCTGAGAACTTGTTTACTGATTTTTTTTTTAATTAAAGCTTTGTGTGAAAAATGCAATGCTAAAGTGCTCAAACCACACCGAGCGTCCGCCACTTTGAGAACTGAAAAGAGACAGCTCATGTCACGTCAAGGGGCCTCCATCCCATTTTTCTTAAAGAGACACGCTGCTCGCTCCCTCACTATCCATCCTTCGGTTCAAAGTCTTATACTGCCATCCGGTGGTCAAAAAAGCTACTACATGCAAAACAAATAAACATTTCTTCTTAAATTTGACAATAATTACTAATTATTGTCAAATTTCAAACAATATTATCGTTTATCGCAATAATTTCTGAGATAATTAATCACCCAGCAACATTTGTTATCGTGACAGGCCTAACAACGAGTGAACTTTATTTAATCCACTGATGGATTAAATTAACTAAAAAAAACAACTTAAAAACGGGGGCGAGCGGTGGTGCTCACCCCCGTTTTAAATTGAGTTTTTTACGTGACACACGTGTCTTTCACTTTTTCAACTAATAATAGTTTTTGTTTTCCTGTGACTTATTTGCAGTATTATAAATGGGAGGAGCTTAAATATAGGCTCCCCATGTTTTGTTGTTCCTTTTTTGGTTGTAAATAATAAATGACTTTTTTTGTGAATATGATATAGTCTTGACGTCACAGCGATTAGTCGACGTCAACTCGACTTTTACTATGTCGACTTTAAAAAATACGAAGTTGTGCAAACCCTAATACTAGGGGTGCACCGATAAATCGGCCGGCCGATCGATCGGCCCCGATTTCCTTAATTTGGGGAGATCGGCGATCGGCCGATCTTTAAATGAGAAGCCGATTTTATCCACCGATCTTATCTGCCTCCGGAAAGGTCTGAAAATCAGCTGCTGTCCCCTTTTGCTCCACTGTGAGAGCTCACACACAGGTCACTCGGAGCAGCCATGTCGTCGGTTTGGAAGTTCTACGCTGTAAAAGAAAATGAGCCAAAGATCGCAATTTGCAATTCGTGTAAAGCCGAAGTAAGTCGTGGTGGAGCCACCACCAAAACCTTTAATACAACAAACCTCGTTCGCCATTTAAGAAATCACCACGCCGCCAAGTATGCAATGTTTGAAGAGAGCAACCAAGCTAAGGCTAATGCTAAAGCTAGCGCTAACAAAGAGGCAGTCGGTGGGTCGCTGTTAGCTTTTATGAGCAACGAAAAGAGCAAAGCTACCACGAGGAAAGTGATGGAGTTCATGGCATTAGACAACCAGCCATTTTCAGTCGTTGAGGACAAAGGTTTTAGAAGCTTGATGTAGCACGTGTGCCCACGATATAATATGCCGAGTCGGAAATATTTTTCTGATGTTGCATTACCGGAGTTGTTCAGCCAAGTTTCGAGAGACACCCGCAGCCTGCTAAAAGCTAATACAAATACGCTCAGCTTTACAACAGACATCTGGACTTCTGATGTAAGTTTAATGTCCATGTTAAGTTTTACTGCACAGTGGATTGACGAACAGTTCGAACGTCATCAAGTACTCTTAAACTGTAAAGAAATGGCGGGGTCTCACACTGCGGCCAATTTATCAGCAGAGTTTAAGGCGATGCTGAATCACTGGGAAATCGATCATGGAAGAGTTCACGTTGTTTTACGGGATAATGCTCGTAATATGGCCAAAGCGCTGGATGATATCAACCTGAAAAGTTTACCCTGCCTGGCGCACACACTGCAACTGGTTGTAAATGAGGGACAGCTGGCGCAGCGCAGCATCACAGACATGGTGGCAACAGGAAGGAGAATTGTTGGACATTTTAAGCATTCATCACTTGCCTATTCCCGACTTTATGACATACAGACACAGTTAGGTCAACCCAGGAAACGATTACAGCAAGACGTTTCAACGAGGTGGAACAGCACAGTCTACATGCTGCAGTCGCTGTTGGAGCAGAGACGTGCTATTGGCGTGTATGCTGCTGAGCATGAGTTACCAGCCACACTCACAGCACACCAGTGGGAGCTACTGGACAATGTGCTCACCATTCTTGCACCTTTTGAGGAACTCACAAAGGAGATTAGCTCATCAACAGCTACAGCAGCAGATGTCATCCCAGCCATCACTGCACTCAAGCGGATTTTGGAGAGGCAAGCGAGCACAGACCGTGGCGTGGGTACAGCCAAAGCTACGCTGCTGGAGGCTGTTGTGAGAAGATTCAGCAACATTGAGCATGAGCCCCTGTACAGCTTGGCCACTGTTCTGGATCCAAGGCAAGTAACTATTAACATTCTATTTTAGCCATAATGACTTTTAGCCTACTACTATATTTCAACAAACATTTAAATTAAATTAAAAATAAAAATTTATTGATTGAAATGCATTTCTTTATTTACATGCAAGTCATAAAAACTGTTAATGTATACAAAACACAATGATTGACCCATCTTTCTTTGTTTATGCAAAACAAGGTACAAGAATGGCTACTTCTCAGCAGAGGTGAAAGATGACGTGAAACTGCTCCTTTTGACCAAACTTGCAGAGGGGGAGACCAGATGCACACCTGCTGCAGGAACATCCTCTGAAGTGGGACCTCCTGATATCGATGAACCTGCAGCCAAAAGGCGTAGTCTACTGTTTGCAGCTCACGACGAAATCTTAAAGGAGAACATTGAACAGGAGCAACAGCTGGCCAGCCCTTCAGCTATGCAGGTACAGAACTACCTATCTGAGGTTCCTGTCCAAAGGAGCCAGGACCCATTGGTCTACTGGAAGATCAATGAAAATCGTTTCCCTCATCTTGCTCTACTTGCCCGAACCTATCTCTCTGCCCCATGCACAAGCGTTGAAAGCGAGCGCCTGTTTAGCTTGGCTGGACATGTAGTAGATGAGAAAAGAAGTCGCCTGTCTGGTGACAAAGCAGAAATGCTTTTGTTCATCAAGAAAAACCTGCCACTAATGAAAGTGACTGGAATAAGTCTGTGAGAACTAACTTACCTGTGTTAGTTCTTATTACCCACTGACTTGAAAATGTTACACTTGTTGCATTATCTTTTTTTTTTTTTAAATGTAACAAGTGAAAGAGTTGAAGGAACTGAACTTTTTTTTTTAGTTAATTTTATAGTTTTAACAAAAATTGTGTAAACTTAATTTATATTTCAGAATACTACCTCATGACAAGTTAAAACAACAAGTTTGTATTGTTTCTAGGGTATTTTTCAAGGGTATGTTTTACAATAAAATAAGATTGGTAAATTGAAGGTGCATTGTGATCTTGTAACACCTGACACTGTTGCTTATAAAAAAAAATCGGTATCGGCCAAAATCGGAATCGGCAGTTCAGACTTTCAAAAAATCGGTGATCGGTGATCGGCCTGAAAATTGAAATCGGTGCACCCCTACCTAATACATACACGTTTTTTACATTTACATATTTTTAAGTATACCTATATTTATATACACATTATATAATGTCATAATGAAAATGAAACAAGTTACATTCTGTAAAAAGTCTGAGTTTGAAACGGATGTTTTTGTGTTGCAGCAGGTTGTTTACATTTTTTACTAACGCACGTGAACAAATTTCTCAGATTAAGTGTTTGCTTTGAGAGACTACGTTTTGCTGTCTTATACTTTACAAAGCAGGGGGCTTGGAAGTGTGACGAAAGCCTTGCTGCAGCTCCATCGAGCAGAACTTTGCTAAACGATGGTGGTTTTGAGGACACTTCCGTCGACCCAACATTCAGATTCTTATCAGCAGAAACGATGGAGCGTGATAAAGATGAAAGGTGTCACAGTTTTTCTCAGAGCTACTGTTCGAGTGGCTCTCAACAGTCAGCTGAAAGTAGGTTAGGTGTGTGGTACAATGTGACGCGACATGGAGCTGTGCCAAACTTCATGAAACTGAACACACTCCACAGCAGAGGACACAGTTTAATTTACTGATACAAATCAGAGGAACGTCCAACATTTACAAGTGTTCAGATGTTTTGGACCCTCATCTTCAATTTAAGGCAAAGTGGGAAAATGCATCAAATTTCACAATTCGCTCTAAAACCATAGATGTCTTACATACGAGCTGAAAATTTTAGATCAAACCCATTGAACAGTACTGGAAACGTGTATGTGCTGAGACACAAACGATCAGATTAACACACAGCTGTTTAATCTAGACATCTGTTTTATAAAATTTATGAAAAAAATCTGAATGCTGTCATTTTAATACATCAGTTTCTCATCAAAATTAATCATTACTAATATATCCTGATGCATGCTCAATAATCCAGGTAGAAAAATCTAAAAGTTAAATCTGGTCCTCGGGACATTCAAAAACCAAAACAAAGCAAAACCACAAAAAAAAAAAAAAAAAAAAAAAAAAAAATAGAAACGTTTCGTCTCATCCAAGAGACTTCTTCAGTCTGAGGTGCTGTTTTCAGCTCAGTCTCTTAAATAGCACCTTCTCAGAGTGGATCAACCAGTTTGCTGCTGACAACCAAAACCAGCTGATCACATGCTCAAGAAGGACCATCAGCCTAACAATGGATCATTAGCACACTGATGGCTGTTTACTGTTCACAGAGGGCTGAGTGATACTAGCAATCACAGGAACAGTAAGAGGAACACTCTTTCAGGAAGGCCCAGTTAGGATATCCACATTGCTCTAGAGCCTGTTTTGTGTGGGATTTCTCCTTCTGCCTGGCTCCTGAGCTAGTGGGGATGCTGTCTGCTCTGTGATACAGAGTCCTGATGACTCCTAACTTGTGCTCCAAAGGGTGATGGGAGTCAAACTGCAAATACTGGTCTGTGTGGGTGGGTTTGCGGTACACCTCAGTTTGCAAATGTCCTCTATCAGAGACTGAGACCTCACAGTCCAAGAAAGCCAACCTGCCATTTTTTACATATTCTCATGTGAACTTGATGTATTTATCCACAGAGCAGGACTCCAGTCAGCCAACAGGTGAAAAGGAGGAACCCAGACCCAGACCAGTGGTCATTCTGCATGTTGAGGGTGATCAGTCTTACATCGGGGAAACTAAACAGCCACTGGCCAAAAGGATGGCCCAGCACAGAAGATCAACATCATCAGGCCAGGACTCTGCGGTCTACACTCATCTCCAGGCCAGCGGTCACTCTTTCAGGGATGAAGATGTTCACATCCTGGACAGAGAGGAACGATGGTTTGAGAGAGGAGTAAAGGAGGCCATCTTTGTGAAAAGAAATCGTCCATCATTAAACAGGGGTGGAGGCCTCCGTGTTCAACTGTCCCTCTCTTACAATGCTGTGATTGCTAGTATCACTCAGCCCTCTGTGAATAGTAAACAGCCATCAGTGTGCTAATGATCCATTGTTAGGCTGATGGTCCTTCTTGAGCATGTGATCAGCTGGTTTTGGTTGTCAGCAGCAAAACTGGTTGATCCACTCTAAGAAGGTGCTATTTAAGAGACTGAGCTGAAAACAGCACCTCAGACTGAGGAAGTCTCTTGGATGAGAGACGAAACGTTTCTACATTTTTTTGTTGATTTGCTTTGTTTTGTTTTGTTTTTTTGAATGTCCAGAGGACCAGATTTAACTCTTTTAGACATTTCTTATATCATTAAAACATTTTTAATGTAAACAGTGAATGCATAAATTAAAACAAGTTTTTTAAATGCCTTTTTTGCTGGTGAAGAGTCTCAGTCATCCAGACCATAGTAAAGCCCCCAAAAGTTTAAACAAAACATCTGGACTTCTGTGCTGAAGGTGTTTCTCTTCTCATCTGGGAGGTTTCATCAATTTAAAAATGTCTGCAGTGCGTGAGGTCCAAGCTTTTGATGAGACTGGAACTACTCGCCCGCACCATGGAGGCTCGTTCTGTCTGCCTGACTCACAGAGATGCTTTGGTCACCTGCATGAAGGTGTGAACAGGAGTGGAGCTGACCTGGAATCAGGTCTAAAGCTGCACTGTAAGCTTTTGAAAGTTTGTTTTTCTTGTTTGATGTAAATGGCTTCCTTCACCCCCCTCTCGAACCATCTCCGTCTAAAACATGAACATTTTGGTCCTCAAGAGTGACCCTTGTCCCTGAGGTGTTGGTGGACTTCTGAATCTTGTGCTGAGCCATGTGTCTGTGGCATAGATGTCGCAACCATTATATGTGAAGTAGACGTGTCCTCCCCCACAAAAGAATGTTAATTTGGACCCTCCCTCCCCCACATTTACCAGAAACATTAGTTCAGTCCGCACTCGGCAGAGAACGCTCACAGGTGGAGGAGGTGGAGACACCTCTGTGTTGCTCGCTCGCCAGCTGCGGGCAGATGTTGACCAGGAGGGTTAGGATTAGGGGTTGAACGACTACATAATTTTTAAACTCGACATTAACATAATAAAACTCTAGTAGAACTCGAGTACTTGATGACATCATAGGATCTAAAGATACAAAAATAAATAAATAAAACTGCAAAAAAGGTCATTATTTACAAAAAAAGACCAACAAAACATTGGGAGCATATTTTATGCTTCTACCATTTATCATACTGCAAATGTCACAGGAAAAACTAAACTATAAGTTTTTATTATTAAACTGCAAACGTGAAGAAACGTTACACCATGATTTCTAAGTGGGCGAACTTGCAAAGTCGCAGGTTGTTCAAATATTTATTTTCCTCATGTATACAAGTACTAAAATAAACTAGTACTACTTGCACTAATACTCCTACGTCGCGGTTTTTCACTTATCGCGGGGCTTCAGGGTACAGATCCCCGTGATAAACGAGGAACTACTGGACATTTACGTCTGTTTAATGTCTTCGTGTATTAGACACCAGTTTTGGAGACGTGAACTTTATTACCTTTGTTGATTTGGGTTTGCTCTTCATCTTCTCGTCATCTTTGCAACTCCTCCTCCTGGAAGTCGAGCGCTCTTTTCTGTCTCTGCTGCGCACCCTCCTCCGCTCTTTCTTCACTCTAAAATATAATTAAAACTAAATAGAATTAATCATTCATTATTGAAACACAACCATGGTAGTTTGTTTATGCGTAGAAAGATATGGAGTAAATATAAAAGAGTTTGGTGAATCAGAATGTGATGGATTCACCGTTTTGGTGAGGGAGATCTGACTTTTCTTCGAGGGCTTCTGGAACGTTCCTTACTTCTCCTTTTGTGACCTCTAAGAAAAATGAACATTTAAACATTCTTTTAACAAGTCCTTACGAGTGAACTTTAAAATAAATAATCTGCATCTGTATTATACACAATTCATTTGTTAAAATCCAACAAAAATATTCAGATTTGATCTAACGGGGCGATCAACGGTTTCCATGAGAGCACGTGATCAGTCTGCACATGGAGTCTTGTGGTTTCCAACAGACCTGGAGCGACTCCGGGCAGGTCTTCTGTCTCTGGAGCGAGAGCGCCTCCTGTGGCTGCCTCTTGCACTGCGGGACGCACTCCCTGGCCACAGCTTCTGCGATGGTCTGCTCCAAGCGGAGGGAAACACCATCAGTGAGTCGACAGCATCCTCATCACAACATGAAGAATGTGAACTGGGTACCTGTGTTTGGAACGGGACCGTTTCCTGCGGGACCTCGAGTGTGAATGAGAGCGCGAGCGTGAACGAGGCCGGCCTCCCTTTTGAGACCGACTGGAGGATCGTTTCTTTGGTTCTGCTAAAATGTGAGTAGAAGTCTCAGCATCGGAGGGGAAATAACTAGAGCAGCTGGAATGTGCAGCAAACCAGAATGACCGACCTGGTTCTATGGCAGCAGCAATGGTGGACTGAGCTTCTCTCACCCTCTTCATCACACTTTCTAACTCCTTTGCAGCAGCCTGTGGTGTCAGCTCCGGGGGTTTTACTATGGCATTATTGGAATGATTAACCCTGAAAGACAAATGGCGTTACACCATGAACCATGACATGTGCACAGAATGACCACATTCCAACACACTGCTGTCAAGACAATCACAAATATTCATTTAAAGTCATATTTCCTGAGGTGCAGAACTGATCCTACTTCAGAGGTCTGTCTCCAAACGTGACTCCGTTCAAGGTCAGGGCTCTGGCAACGGACTCTTGCTCAATAAATTCGACGAAGGCGAAACGGGTCGGTTGGGTCTCGTCTCCAGCCATTCGCACAAACTTGACGTCTCCCACCTGCTTAAAGAATTCCAGCAGCTGATCTGCAGTCGTGGTCTGATGGAAAGAGGAACAACTTTTAGCTTTCATGTTGCACTGCTTCCAGAAAAACAGCCTGACAAAACAACACAGTCCATGCTCAATAATCCAGGAATACAATCCAACATTTTTCAGTCAGGAATACCTGATATCAGACTGAAAAATGTTGGATTGTATACCTGGATTATTGAGCATGGACTTTGTTGTTTTCAACCAGTTTGACAAGACTGTCAACAAAGAAGAGGGCCGGCAATGGAGGAGGGGGCGTACCAAAGAGACCATCTCATCACAAGCAGAACTGGTTTGTTCCAGTTTGGAGTAAGCTGTTGGGGGAAGAATCAGTTTTGTTGTGTTTCCTTGACTGATGAAGCCTTCTGGATTGAAGGTGAAACATTTCAGCACAAAAAAAACGAACTGTCCAGATGACCTGAGTGAAAAATGTTGAAGCCTAACAAAACCTTCACTGCTGTTTGTTGGTTTGTTTTTTATGAGCGCACCAGGCCAAACTAGGATTAAGTCCAAAACTATTCATGAGTGTTGTTTAATCCAGTCAGATGCCAGCCATAAAATGCAACAGAAAAGATGTCAGAAGGATGGATCAAACAGGACTCCTGCATGTCCAGGTGCCAGCAGCAGCAGCAGTGTTCTTCATCTTCTTCTTCTTCCAGATTTTCTCTCTTCAGGGGTCTCCACAGTGAGTCATCCTCCTCCATCTCCGTCCTCACTCCAACTACCTTCATGTCCTCTCTAACTGCATCCATAGATCTCCTCTGTGGCCTCCCTCTGTTTGTCCTGACAGCTGCAACTGTGTAACGTAGGGGTCTGCAACCTTTGCGATCAAAAGAGCCTCTTTTACACCTGCACTCACTAAATTAAACGTGTCCAGAGCCGCAACAACCTGCTACAACTGTGACTGTCAACTGGTGGCCCGTGGGCCACTTTAGGTTTGGCAGAGGAGACTTTTGTGGCCAGTAGGGGTGACATAATAAATAAATGTAGCTAATGATTTTTTTACATTTATTATAGGGCTGGACGATATGGCCAAAACTTTTATCACGATATATCTCTTAATTTTGGTTGATAACAATATAATTCTGATATTGATATGAACAATATAAAAGCCTCAGAAAAACTGTACAAATAAATTAAATGTTCACTTTTATTTGTATTTAGCCGTCAAAGAAATTTGAAATCTCCGTCAAATAAACATTAAACTCTCAACTTTGTCAATATGAATAGTTTTAACTTTAAACAACAACATAACCCTAACACATGCAGCAAACTGTGATTACTGCGTTTCTGTTTGATGCAGCTGGGGGCAGGGCTTGATTTATAAACTGATGCAGGAACAGCCGGCAGGCTGGGGGGGGGGGGGGGGGGGGGGTTCCCCCTCACAGAAAATAACAGAAATACACTTCCTGCATTTTGGTGTATTTTAACAGGTACATCAACATTTACCTACATTTGTAGACACTTAATAAAATTACTATTTTGGAGAAGAACAGCAGGTTGTGTGTGAACGAGCAGCTCCGATTCTGTCAGGTGTCCTACCCCCCCCCCCCCCCCCCCCCCCCCCCCCCCCCCCCCCC